AACGGCGAGCAGGGGCAGCTCTGCTGACCAGTTATCCCAGCCATGCTCCAGGATTTTTAGCTGGCTGTGGATAGAAGGAAAGGCAGGGGGTGGAGGTGTTGCTTAGGGGCACTGACTGGTGGTGAGACCATGGGACTGTCCCAAAGGAGAGGGGACAGGCAGTGGCTGTGGCACAGCCACCCAACTCCTGAATCTCGGGATTGTATCCCCAACCAGCTTCATCAGGGAGGAGCAAAAAAGCAGGCAGAGCTGGGCACTGGCACCAGAATCCTGGTGGCATCCTGGTGGCATCGGTGTCACCAGGGCAGGCAGGACCCAAGGTGATAATGGGGAACAGATAATTCAAGGTGCCCCAGGGATTTGCTGCTCCTCAGGCTCCCAGACCCAGGGAAGGGTGAGCCCCACAGGGATGGGGTGGAAATGGGGCCCAGGACCCACTGAGCTGGAGGGATGACACTGAGGGTGCTTGGACACAGGGTGGGGATGTCTTTGGGGTGGTAGGTGCAGCCCAGCAAAGGCTGATGGGTCTGGCTGCTGATGGGTGTCCCCAGGATGGAGAAGGCCACACCACGAGCTGCACCCAACATCACCTTGTCACCGCACACCAGGAGACACTGGGGCTGGTGCCCAGCTCAGAGATTTAACCTCTCTGCTCCTGGTCCTCCTCCAGGGCAAAGGGGTTTCGTGGGTCCCCAGGGCCACATGCCTGAGAAGAGCAGGCCCCTGCCACCCTCCTGGGCACCCCCACGGCACATCTGGCCCCGTGCCACTCAGAGCGGGTGCCTTCTGCCTCTGTTTGTTCACAGCGAGCGCCAAGGCTCGTGAGTTAATTAAAACTCGGTCGAAACTGTCGTCAGGCAGTGCCGCTCCTCGAGAGGCTGCGAGTGCTCCCATCCCCCGGGAAGGGATGGAGGAGGATGCTCAGGATGCTCCCGGGGGAGAGAGAGAGAGACACCCTGGGGAAGGAGCTGTTGTGATTGCCCTTCCCGGGAGGAGGCAAAACTCCAACCCCGTCTTGGGGCCACCGCGTGTGGTGCCTGAGCGTGACCCGCTTACCCAACGCTCAGCTGAGCCCTGGCTGCTTAATTTGGAGCTGGGGGCTGCTGGGGGGAAGGAGGGGAGGCCCTGCCACGCCGAGCCGTGCAGTTCCAGGCCGAGCCGAACGCAGGGCCCCAGGGGCGCTCCGGCCGGGACAAAAGGGAATGTAGGTTAAGCACAAAGCTCGGCAGCACCGAGGGGGGGCCAGGGCAGGCTCCCACCACTGCAATTAGCTGATTGCTCCGTGTTCCCTCGCAGGGGGGACGGGGGGATGCTGTTACTGCTCCCTGCTGCACTCTCCATCTGAGAAAGCTGCCCCCAGGGGCACCGTGCCCCCCGCGTGCCCCTCTGTGCTCTGCACGGAGCTGGAGGAGGGGGAGCCCCTGAACCTGCTGGATGGGATGTCCCTGATGTCCCCACCGCTGGGGACAGTGGGGATGATGCTCTCTTAGCACCAGGGGTGGAGTGGCTTTTCCCCCAACATTTTGGGGGCACCCTGCAGTACCCAAGTCATTGAGTGGGAATCAGAAATGTCCCACTCAGATGGTGCCCGAGGAGAGTGTGGGAGCCTGTGACATCACCAGGAGTCTGAGTGACAAATGGCATCATCAGAGGGGGTCATTGTGTCACCTTGCGGGGCAGAGGGACCCCGGGCTGTTGGGTGGTGGCAGCAAGGACAGGGTGGGCAGACAGGATGCTGCTGACATCATCAGGCTGGTCCATGACATCAATGAGGAGGGGGCAGAGAGAGGGGTCTGGGCAGGCTGTGCAGTGGGTGAGGAGGAGGAGGATGGTCCCACAGAGCGATGTTCCCGGCTCATGGCTGCAGAGCTTGTCCTTGTGCTGGTGACATATTGACTTGCAATTCTTAATCAAGTGGATTATTAATTAGCAGCAGAGCCGGCTGGTTAATCCCAGGCCTGGCTGGGAGCTGGTGGTTTGTGCTGACAGAGCCTGGGATCGTGACACCATCAGTCACGTGCCACCATTCTGGGACCTGCTGTGCCAGGACCCCCACGCTGGCCCAGGGTATTTCATTGCCACTGGAAAGGCATGGTTGGCACCCACCCTGGGGATCAGGGGATGGCCTCACACTGGTGACCCAAACCCAAGGGATTTCGACCCAAACCCCATGGGATTTCACCCCAAAAGTGGTGGCTGTCACTGCAGGATTCGCCCTGGCACAGCAGGAGCAGGAGGTTTGTGGGTGGGCAACCAATCTGCTGTGTTGCCTCCGTGCCATCTGGGCCACGTGGGTAGGGGTGACACGTGTGTCACTAGTGCCACATGTGTCCCCAGTCATGGCCATGGTGGTTGTGCCATGGAGGGTGGAGGGTGCTGGGGACCAGCCCTGCCTGGGACACCCCCCTGACCTCACCTTGTGGGGATGGTGTCCCCCATGAGAGCACCTCAGTCCTCACATGTGACCTTGACCCCCTGGCCCCTGGAGGTCCCAGAGGGACGGGTGGAGGGGGCTGGGGACCAGCTCCCCCATCCCTACCTGAGCCCACCCCAGATCCATTCACCACCATCACCAGACCCATCCCGCACTTCCCTGCCTGTCTGAACCATCTGCCGAGACCCCCGCGGGCAGGGGGGCTGTGCAGGTTTGCTCCCCAAATCCCTACCCCAAGTGCCGGTCCCAAACCCGGGCTCGGAGCGTTTTGCTCACCGTTTTGGTGCAGGCGATTGAATGTTGGTCCTAATCCCTCCCAGCGCCGGGCCCGCCTCCCCGCGCGGCTGTCGGCGGCGATTTCCCAGCCCTAATTAAAGCTCGGAGCGTGTGGCGGCGGCTCCCTGGGGGATGCTTCCCTTGCTTCCCAGTTTCCCGTCAAGATCAAGGGGATAAACCGATGTTACCGGCGAAGTTAATGCCGGAGGCAGCTGAGGGAAGCGGTGACAAGCCCCGAGCTGGCGGCAGCCGCCGATCCGGAGGCGAATCCCACCTTGGAACGCTGCCTCGGGGGGGCCTGAGGATGGCAGGAGGGCTAGGGGGTGGTGAGATGAGCCGTGCAGGTCTCAGCCCAGCCCTGAGACCCGTCTGTGGCAGCTTTTTGTGGCCTCAGTGGGCGCGTGGCATCACCAGACAGCCGCGTGCCTGCCCGAGGTCTGGCAGCAGGGCAGGATTTTTGAGGTGCCACAGCCGTCCACCAGCTACTGCTCCTCTCCCACTCCTCATCTTCACCCTGAAGTGACACCTCCTGGCCCAGAGCACCCCACTGAGCCCTGGGGAGGGACACCCAGGCTGGCACCCAGCCTGGAGAGCTGGGAGAGCGGAGCTGCCTCCCTCCTTCCAGGCACCTGCCAGGCAACCAAACCCCGGCCATCTGTGCCCGCTCCCAGCTGCCAGCCAGCTGCACTGGGCACCCACAAACCCACCCAGAGCCCCGCAGGGTGGTTTCCCCAGGCCTGGCAGGGGGATGGCTGCTGCAGGCAGGGATGCTCCGGCCGCCTGGCACGGCTGCTGCCTGCTTAATTGCGCTGCAAGCACAACAGATGGCAGAAGGGCTTCAAGATGTTCTTTTCCAACATTTTGGGCTCATTTGCTCGCCTTCCTCCGAAGCAGCTCCAAGGAGGGAGGTTGGGAAGAGCCCTGTGTGCATGGGGAGGGGTGATGACCCTGAGGACAAGTCCAGTGGTGCAGCTGGGGAATTAAAGGGAATTAAAACACTTGCCGGGCTCACACTGCTCCGCTTTCTTCCCGCTGTAATCCCTGGGCCTGCTGCCCTTCCTGCCCGCACCTCCAGCACCTGCCTGCTGCTCCCAGGGGACAAAAGCCCCTTTGCCATGTGCCCAGGGCAGCTGGTGGCAGCAGCTGGGTGCTGGGGGGTCACCTCCCTGCCAAGGGGGGCTGGTCAGGGACCTCGTGGCTTCTTCCCAGAGATCCGGGTCCTGCCACGCTCCGGTCCTGCCGTGTCCCCGGCTGTGCCAGGCTGTCCCACTGCGGCACCAGGAGCAGCACCAGGGCCCAGCACGCACCAGGCACCCTGGGGTGGTGTGGCATGTCCACCCTGAGCTGGGTGCTGTGTGCCTGTGCAAGGCTGGCACCCATCCAGGACCGGTATCCTGAACCAGCACCCAGCACCCAGCGTGGCTGTGCTGGACCAGTAGCCAGGACCAGCAGCACCCAGCACCCAGCAGTGCTGCACCCATGCTGGCTGCACTGCACTGGCACCAGTTACCAGCCCCATCACCCATCCCTGTCCCCAGCACCCATCCCTGTCTCCAGCACCCATCCCTGTCCCCATCACCCACCCCTGTCCCCAGCACCCATCCCTGTCCCCAGCACCCATCCCTGTCTCCAGCACCCATCCCTGTCCCCATCACCCACCCCTGTCCCCAGCACCCATCCCTGTCCCCAACACCCATCCCTGTCCCCAGCACCCATCCCAGCCCCTCCACCTTCCCCCCCCTGTGGTGCTCAGGGCCGAGGTGTGTCACCAGGCGCCTTTGATGAATTATTTATGAGGCAGGTGACCTCATTCATTCAGATTGATTTTCCTCCGTGTCACTCCAATTCCATCACGCTCCTGGAACCGGGAGGCATGTCAGGTACTGAGCCTCGGGGACAGGTGGGGGCACGAGCCAGAGGCCCTTCCTTTGCCAGCTCAAAACCCACTCATATTAATAATAATATTAATTTTATCACCCCTGTGACAGAGCATCCCCCCAACCGAGCGTCCCTTTGCCAGAGCATCCTCCCTTGGCCAAGCATCCCTCAGCCAAAGGCCTGAGCCTCTTTCAGGCTGAGCATCCCCCCAAAATCAGCATCCCTCTGGCTCAGCATCCCTCCAGCCGAGCACTCAGCGCTGGCTGATGGCCAATTATCACCCAACAAACCCACCAATGTCCCAAATCTCCCCGGGCACCAGCCACACCTGATGGCCCCTGATAGATCAACTGCCCGTCCCTATTGTCACCCAACAATGGCAAATGGCCAGTCCCGCTCCCCGGGAGCGCTGTTAGCCCAAATATTTGCTTCCCGTCTCCAGGGTGACGGGGTTGCCAGCGCTCACCCACATCCCTCCTTTGATCGTCTCCCTCTTGATCTTCAGCGCGCAGGATCCCCGGGTCACCCTCTCCCCCACCCTCCCCGAGGGGGATGCAGGACCTGGTGGCACCCACAGTGTCCGGGCGTGGGGATCCCGTGGTGGGGATGAAGGAGATGAGGGTTGGAGGATGAAAATGGGACTGGGGGGGGGGTGATGGGGATGAAGAATGGAAGGTGAAGAAGATGGGGCTGATGGAGATGGGGGTGGGGGATGAAGGAAGGGTTGTGGGTGATGGAGATGGGGGATAAGGGAGATGTTTTCATGGGGTTGTGACCACGGGGAGATGGTGGTTGTGGCCTTGGGGTTTGTTTCAGGTGCTTGAATCTGCAACCACCACCACTCCATGGCCATCACCACTACCCAATGGCCACCATCACCTCCCTCACACAGTCAGAGCAGTTCAGTGGCCAAGGATGGGAGGGCAGACACTCACTGGTGGTTCCACACCCCCTCCACCGTGCTGGGACAGCAGTACCTGGCTCAGCATCGTGGCAGAAGCTCTGGGGAGGATCCATCCAGCTTCTCCTGCTCCTTTTCCCCCTCCTACATACTCTTCCTGGAACAGGTTTTTTCCCAGCCCAGGGAGCCAAGCAGAGCCACTGGCAACTCAACCTTGTTTCTGCCTTTCCCAAAACTCACCCAGGTCCAACACCGGCTCTTGGGGTGGGGGCTGGAGCTGGGAAATTTCTCCAGAACAGGAGGAATTTTGGAGCCAGACGGGATCAGCTCCAAAATCCCTGGGAATTTGGCGTTGGCAGAGGAGGGACCGACGGCAGGGAGCGATTTCTAAGCAGCATTTTTAAAAACACAAAGCGAAATCTTCGCCAGAAAATGTTATTTCAATCCCGCCGGCAACCGCCAAAGTCGTTTCGAGGCCGTTTTGAGGCGACGCTTTGTGTTGGGAATGGGACCCAAATCTAAAGGAGCTGGGAATGGAGCTGCAGGGAAAGCTGCTGGGAGCTGGGATGCAGCCACAGTGAGGAGTGCTGGGGGGTTTGGCAGCCCCTGGGGCTGGATCTGAACCCCCTCATCATCCTCCCCCTGCGGGACCGCAGTGGGTGCTCAGGGGGTGCCACCACCCTGGTGACAATCCAGTCCTGGTGTCCTTGGGCATGGGCATGAGGTCCCTGGCCCTGTGGCCTTTCCCTTGCAGACCCAAACCCCACAGTACCCCAGCCCCACTCCCCAAATCCCCTGGGAAAAGGGCAGGATCCACCCCCCTTCCTAAAAACAGCGTGGCTGTGGGCTCTGGAGACGGGCTACGAGGGGGGATGTCATCATGGACCAGGAGGGACCAGGAGGGACCAGGAGGGACCAGAAGGGACCAGGAGGGACCAGGAGGGCTTTTATTGCATGGAACCAAGAGGGAGGAGAGGGGACATCAGAGGGGGCATCACTGCTGGGGCCAGGAGGGACGTGGCTGGAGATCCAGGAGCGACAAACCACAGGATCAAGCAGGGACATGGTTGGAGATCCAGGAGGGACATCACCACAGATCAGGAGGGATGTGACTGGAGATCCAGGAGGGACATCATCCCAGGGACCAGGAGAACCCTGAGGGAGCATTAGGGCCAAACCTTCAGGCCCAGGGTGGGGGGGATGCTGTCACACGGAGCCAGCAGAAACACCATCAGAGGGCCAGAGGACACCAGGAGGGACACTGTCAGCATGAGGGAGCACCCGAGGACACCGCAGCCACCGGGAAGCGGCCGCGTGGGGGGTGGGAATGGCCGGGGGAGACGTGCCCGCCCGCACTTTGCTGCATGACGGTGATTAAGTTGCTTCCCTCCGTTATGGTCTCTCGGGGAGGTGTTAACCAGCCGCTAATAAAGACTGATGGTTCTGAAGTGGCGTCTCAGGAGCTTTTATATCCCTGGAATTTCGGGAAAAGCCGCCGAGGTGCCCCCCCTGGTCAGAGCCGTGGCCCCCTCGTTCAGGCAGCCCCGCGGGGAACACCCATCGCGGGTGGGGCGAGATCGCCACTGAGGGGTTATCGGGGGACACCGGGGAGGATTTTGGGGGGAGCTCGGGGGATGCCGTGAGCCCGGAGCTGCCCCGGGGAGGAGGAGAAGGGCGACCCGAAGGGCCGCGGGGGGCGGGAAAGCAGCGGGAAGAGGAGAAATCCAGCAGCAACTGCCCATTAAAATTCATGAAAGCTGTTAAAAAGCAGAGCGCAGCGCGAGCTCCCGACTGCTGCTGACAAAGCCGGCGAGGGAGGCGGCGGTGCCAGCTCCGTGCAGCGGCAAATTTGGGGGTTCAACCCCCCCCTTCCCAAGCCGGTTTCTGGCTGGGTGACACCGTAACAAAGGGGCGCTTCCTTTGGGGCTGCCGGGCAGAGGTGACGGATGGAGGCACCAAACCCGCACCCCTCCCATCACAGGGGACCCCCAAACCCCCTCCGCTGCCTGGAAGGGGATTTGCATCTTAGAGCTCATTTATTTTCCTTTTTCCCCTATATTTTTAGCCCCCAGTCCCCACACTCACAACCCCCCTCCCAGCCGCCTGCGAACAAGCCCCGGCTCGTTTCCCTCGCCGTAATTAGCAGCGTTTCTGCAGGCAAATGGCAGTCGGGAGTGGAGGTGGCATTTCCTTAATTAAAACAATTAATTAGGGTGGGGTGAGAGGGAAGATAAAACGTCTTCCCCACAGAAATGGCTCTCGGAGCAGCCGGGCCTCCACGGTGATGCCAAGGCTTCATCGGGGCGGGGACAGCGTCACGCGTGTCCCTGTGGGTGCCCACCCTTGGGTGCTGAGCACCCCGGGGTGCCTTTTGGACCCTCATCCCCGCTCGTTGGCCTGCAAGGACGGGCTGCTCGTCCCAAAACGTCGCTGTCACGGCCATGGCCGTCCCCAACCGGTGCATCCCGGTGATGCCGATCCGGCCCCGGTTCTCTGCCGGGGTATAAATATCCGTGTGTTACTTAGCGACTAATTGCACGGAGCGCAACAGCGGGGGGTGCCAGCCCCTAATGAGGATCTGGAATCAAAGCTGCTAATTACCCCTGTGCCGAGCTGCTGCATCGCTCCCGCTGGGCTCTGCCCGTCCGGTTGTGCCACTCGGCTCACACCCGCAATCCCTACGGTATTCCCTGGCTCCAGAACCCCTGTGCCAAGGGGTTTGGGGCGCAGGTGAGAGGCCAAATCCAAGGGTCTTCCCATTTGGATGGTGGCTCAGAGGCAGGTGCCATCCAGCCACCCACATCCCTGGTCACATCCCCTTTGGATGAGTTGGCACAGCCGTGCTGGTGGTGAGGGCCAAGGGTGCCTGTGGGAGGGTGTGTGCAGAGGTGGGGGGGTGCAGGGGTGGGTGCCTGGGTGTGTGTGCACAAACCAACGTGGAAACAGGGCTGGTTGAAATCCAAACCCTTCCACGTGCTGCTGGAACATCCCCCAGCCAGGCCCCACCAACCCCTTGCTGAGCTCATCCAACCCCAGCGTTGAACCGAGACCTTTGACTTTATCCCCGAAGCATCCAACACTCCCTGATCCCCAGTGGGTCCCCCCAAGGCTAAGGCTCTGACATTCCCAGCACATTCCCTGCTCGAAGCACAGGAATAACCTCCTGCTGAACCACCCCATCCCCGTGCACACCCAGCGCTGGGGAGACCTTTCCCAGAGCACAGAATTTCGGGTGCCCAGGAACATCCCTCCAGGCTCATCATCTTCCCGTGTGGCTGTTGGGGATTGGGGGGGGGGGAGATTTTTTTTCCTTGGCTCTGCGCACCACGTGGATGGTGGGAAGCAGGTCCCGGGTAAATATCTCCCGGCGGGTGCGTGCGGGGATGCTGCCTTCACAGGATTTACAGCTTCAAAGCCTCGGCCTCAAAGCCTGCAGATATCTTTTCATCATTTCAGCCGCGGTCTAATTACCCCGCTGGCCGCCGGCGCTGCCCGGCGCTCCCAGGTACAGCCTCTCTTAATAGCTGGGATTTATTATTTAAATGCCGTTTTTTCAGCTCCTCGCTCCCATTGCGGCTCCGAGGGCTCCTGTGCCCCCTCCCTGGCACCCCAAAAGCTGGGGCACCCTGATCCAGCAGCACCCGGCGTTCCCGCTCTCCGCCTGCTCTGAGCCGTGACGAGTTATTAATTAACGGCGAGGTATCATTCCCCGCTTCATCCTCGGTGTAATTAGATCGTGGGAATGCCGGGAAGCGCTGCTGGTTAACGCTCGCCGGAGGGGGATGAAGGGAACCGGAGTCATCCCAACGCAACCAGAGCGTTCCAGATGCTCCCCAGCTGCCAGAATCGGGGTGGGGTTTTGCCCCAGCGAGGGGCTCCTCGTGCCAGGCCGGCGGGTTTTGGCACGGAGCGCCCGGTGCCGGTGATTTACGGCGGGCACGGACCCGCCGCGTGCCGTGATGGATGCGGGAGCAGCCCCGGCCGCGGCGCCTGCTAATTAACCGCTTTGGATTGATGAGAAATTGCAGCTCCCGCTAACGATGGCAGCGGCTCACCCCGGCTCAGCCGCGGCCCGGGGAGACGGCGGCGGTGCCGGGGTCGATGCCGGCGGTGCCGCTTCCCTGGCTCTCAGAGGGGGCTGCCCATCCCTGCTGCCGGCACAGCCGGGAGGATAATTTATGGTTTCGTATCAGTGCCGCTGATCTTGGAGCTTTTCCAGCCTCCTCTTCCCTCTCCCCCCACGCTGCTTTTTCCTCGAAAGCCGACTTGCCAGGATGGGATCCAGCTCCTCCTCCCCAGCGGCCCTGGCCGTGTCACCCCTTGGAGGACCTGGATCCCCTTTCCATGATGAGCTCATGCGTGTGCTGAGCTGTGACAGGGCTCTGCACCGCCTGAGCCGCTTCCTTCTCCCGCTTAAGGATGCTCCGGAGCTCCAGCCGCACGGGCAGGGCCGGATAACACCATTCCCACGGCCCGAGGGGCCTCCTGGGGACGTGCACCCACCCGGGAGCCTTTGGGAGCGTGGGCGCCCCAGCACCCGTTTGCGGAGTGTGATTTTTCGAGGTGCCAAATTGCCTCTTAGTGAATAAATTGCTCTGTGGGAGTGGAGCGTGGGGGTCTGGCAGGGCATCTGGGAAGGGATCTGGGAAGGGATCTGGGA